GCCGGAGGAGATGGGCCGGTGGGCTCGTGGCTGCTGGGGGCCCCCTCTGAGCGGCTCCACGTCGTGCAGGGAAACTGTCGGAGAGCCTGCAGCAGGCGGAGGTGAAACTCGTAGACAAGGAGAGCTGCAACCTGGACGCCTACCATGGGGAGGTCACCGAGAAGATGCTGTGCGCCGGCCTGCCCCAGGGCGGGGTGGACACCTGCCAGGTGGGGGGGTCGGTCTGCACCCCTCAGTGAAACAGCCCCTTCCAGGGACCAGCTGTCCTGGCGGGAAACGGCTGCGAGCCGGAGCTGCGGGCACCGGCACCCACCGGGCCGGGGGCTCCTCAGCGCCCGCTCAAAGACTTTGTCCCTCGCAGGGGGACAGCGGCGGGCCCCTGCTGTACTCGGGGGGGCACTGGCAGGTGGTGGGCATCGTCAGCTGGGGCCAGGGCTGCGGGACGCCCAGCACACCCGGTGTCTACACCAGTGTCCGTGCCTACCTCAACTGGATCTACGCTGTCCGGAGGGTCAGTCGGGGTTCCGCCGCTGCGGCAACATGCGCCGCTGCTCCGTCACGCAGGTTTTGGGGGGCGGTGGGGAAGGTGAGGGCCCCCTCAGTGGCTCTGCTCAGAGGGGAATGGCCCCGGCGGGGTGCAGGGTGGGACGCTGCGGGGCTGGGGCTGCGGGCAGCCAGCCCCCTTCGGCTCTGCACAGGAGCTACGTCAGCCCCTTCAGGACACGACGCTCTTCTCCCAGTTCCAGGTGCCCTTTCAAAGTTTGCAATTTCATCTCTCCCTCTCTCCTTCCAGTCGGAGCTGTGAGACCTGCTGGGCCAGGTCCCTCCTCTCTCCCCAAGCCCCCCTCCACATCCCTACGTGCTCGGCTGTCTCGGCTCTGGATCTCAGGCCACAGAAGGTGAGCGGTGCCTCCCAGACCCTCGCTGCCAGGCTGTGACTTCGTGTCCCAGAGGTCAGCCAGGAGGCAGAGGGCAGCTCGGAGCGACAGCCACCAACAGCGGGAAGGAATGTGACCGGCTCAAGCTCCCTTCCGGAGAAAGATTAATTTATTGCCCTGTGCCAGCCCCGCTGTGGCAGGAAGGCTCCTGTGGGGCTGAGCTGCTGTTTGTTCCCTCCTGTTTGTGCTGTAGAGTATCCCTATTAAAAGAAAGTATTTGTTTTTTCACGCACCCTCTGAAGGCTTTGTCCCTGCTGCTTCCAGGGGTACTTTCTGCAAGACCCTGCCTGGTGCCAGCGCCGCTTTCCCCACACCCTTCCCAGGGTTTATTCGCTGGCTCTTGGGAACAAGCTGTTCCTGCACACAGGGAAGAAAGCGCCGCGTGGACCTCGGCCCCTCAGTCAGACGAACTGATCGGAAAAGGCTCGGTTTAAATCGCCTGGAAACAAACAACGGATTTTAAATCGACTTCTCCTAGCGTGGCTTCAGCCCCAGTAGAAATCAGGGCTGCTGCCGCGCCAGGCGGCCCAGGGGGGGTCATGGTCAGCCTAAGCAGACACCGACAGCACCCCAAACCAGAGCGAGTTTCTCTAGTAAACATAAACTTTATTTCATTCAAGGCAAAGCTCACTAAACCTCTACAGTGCAAAAAGGTGCTGTAAGTCATCACACAGCATGTTGTGCACACCCCGTCCTTGTCTGCAGGTTTCTCCTACGTGTAGTTGTATATGCTGACACACGGACGTGTCTGTCGCAGCACGCGCCCCCGGCAGGGCCTTCTCCCCACGTGCCCCGGAAAGCCCCGGCGGACCCCCCCGAGCCCCCGTGACAGCAGGGACCCCGCAGGAGCTGGCACAAGCTCCCCGGGCAGCCCGCGCCCTCGCGCCGCGCGCAGCACCCGCACACGCGTGTGTCTAGAGTTGCATTTCAGAAACTGGTTATGTTGACTTTGTCCATCAAGCCGGAGGAGTAATCCATGCATAGTGCAGCATTGCATATCCTGTGGTAAGTGGAACAGGGTCCAGATACCGTCTAAAAAAGGCCAACAGGTTAGGACAGCTAAAAATATTTCTTTAAAAAAAAATCCCTTCCTCCCCTCACTGTCGCCTCCCACGGGAGGTCTCCTCCAAGGATGGGCTGGGGGGGGTCTCCTGGGGCATCTGGGAGGTCTCAGCCTTCCTGCCCCGACGCTCACGCGTGACACGGGCATGTTAACGACCCTTGGCATTTACAGAGTGCCTTCCGCCCCAGGATCTCTGAGCACTTTGCAAAGCGATGCAGGGAGCCTCACCCCTCCTGGAGGTAGGTCAGATTTAGGGTCCCCACTTTACAGGTGGGGAAACGGAAGCACAGAGAAGTCAAGTGATTTGCCTGAGGGTCCCCTGGATCCTCAGGGAGGGGACCGGGATCCCCGGGACCTGACTCCCACTTGCCCGTCTAACCAGCAGCCAAGGAAACCTGCCTGGGGGCGGGTGCCTGGACCCGACTCCTGTCCCACAGGCAGGGCCCCGCTCCGGCGGGTGCCCCCGCACCCAGCGCGGGCGCAGCCAGCCGGCCGTGCTCCCGGGTGAAGGCTGCGGGGTGCTCTCCGCGCCACCGTCCCCGCAAGCGGGCGGGTGAGGTCCCACCTCTCCCGCAACAGCCTCCGCAGAGGGAGCACCCAACCCTTCCGCCTCTGCCTCGCCCACCAAACCCTCGCCTCCCGTCCAGTCCGGTGCCTCTGGCGGGGCGCAGGCCCCCGAGCTGGGGCACCCAGGGCTCAGCTTTGATTCGCAATTTTAAGGGGGGATGGGGGAGCTGCCAGTCCTGTAGCTTCACCGACAGACACCCACAAATAAAGGAGAAATAGGGAACAAATCACGTTGTAAAGGATGTTCTCAACTTCAGCTTGCAGGATCAGCTCATTCCCTTCACGTCTGACACCCTGCTACAGCCCTTGGGAGGGGGCTGGGTTGCCCGGACCCCCACTGCAGGTGTCCTTCGTGCAGACCCTCTGGCTTTCTGTGGCACCCCTCACCTGAGGATCCCAAAGCACTTTACCAATGTTAGCCAAAGAAGCCTCACAACCACCCCTGTGAGGTAGAGCAGTATTATTATCCCCATTTTACAGATGGGGAAACTGAGGCACGGGGAGGCAGAGTGACTTGCCCAAGGTCACTCAGCGGGCCAGCACGGCCCCAGCCCAGCTCCCCTCACCAGGGCTCGACCGTGCTCCCTCCCTGCATTGCAGATGGAGTGCCACAGTCTTCCTCGGGAGGAAGGAAAACACAACCAGCCGCTTTCCCACTGGAGTCTAATATAAAAAACATCCGCGTGACGAGTTAAGCCTTGGCGAGTCAGCATCGAAAGCATCGCTGCTCGGAGTGCTGGGCTTTACAGGGAGGGGAGGAGGAGCAGGACAACCCCGGGAGCACCTCCCGAGGAGGCTGCCTGGGGGGGAAGCCCCCCGCTGCCCCCGGGGCACGGCCCTGCGGGGACAAAGCCGGCATGAAGCTTCACCCCGGCGTGCTCCTGGCAGGGGCGGGCAGCGACCCC